TGTTGTGACTATTTGGGAGAGTTGGAAGAGCAGAGACGAGTTTGCTCATTTTTTTGTTCTGGCCCTTATGCTATTGGGTCTGTATGGGATGGACTCATATGTTTGTGACTTAAGATAATGCTCCAAAAAATGATGCTGCTGTAAACAAAACTACACTACTTGATTTGTGTACATTTTTAAAATAACAGACCTCCGGAAACAGAATTGCTATTATTAGCGTAACTGGTTTTTCCTTGTAAAAGCCACAGATCACATGTGCTTCTTTCCTGTGAAACGTTTTATTTTTAGGTCTTAACATATGCAGGTTTTTGACATGATTTTTCAAAGACTTTGTATCAATGCCTCAGCGAATGTTTCTGAAAATCTCATTCTGCAACATTGTCTTTTATAGTGTAGATTTTTTTTCACTGTAATTTTCTACATCACTCGTGTTTCTAAGGTTTTTTTCCCACAGGCAGATTTTCTTTATAATTAGTACCAAAACTACTACTTAAACTGACAAAGATGGCTTTTAGGAAAGATTGGCAGGCAAGCTAAATTATTCCTATTGCATCTCTACCATAGGAAAGGGTTGTACGATTTATGTTGAAATGCATATTATTTTAATGCTGATTGCTCAGTGTCTTATGTTGCTTAAATAATTTTCATCGTGCTTCACTATAGCTTTTTGTTTGTTTTAAAGTAATGGCTTTTATTAAAATTACACAGTTATGTGCCTCACTGTTACTGAAGACAAAACATTACTCTACCTATGAGGTGATTTCATGAGAGAAGCATATCTTTTGGCATAAGTTTCCAAGACTCTCTATAATTGTTAGGTTGTAGCTTAGTTTGTAATAGCACTGATTGCACTATTGGATCTGCAAGAGTATTGTGTTTTTTATGATATTTTCTGTGCAGTGAGTCATAATAATAATAGTAATAAAGCATAACATGGCATCATTTGTGGATTTTTCCACTGATAAAATATTGCCATGTTACTTAGGGTAGGCTTTAAAAATGTCTTTAAATTTCAGACCTGTCATCTGTTTGCAAGCTCTGGGCTTGGTCCCCAGGAGCTGTGCAGGCTGGTGACCCCATGGCGTTTCCCTTCCAGCCAGGCTCATTTCAGGAACCGAGGCGCCTGCAGCAGACCTTGAGAGGCGGGGGAATGCCAGCGGCTCCCCAGCTGTTTCCAGGCCTTTTGTTCTGAAAGTAGGGACTGAGCAGGAGGGCGAAATGGATGGACCTGTTTAGGAATTGTTCTTTTGGCCTACTTTGAAAGTAAACACAACTTGAACAACCTGCGTATGTCCATCAGAGGGGTGGTGGGTGGGAGAAGAGTGGCTGACTGACCACTGGCAACCCTGGAGCTGGATGCCAGGGGACCCTACATAACCCCCAGGAGAAACAGGGCCCTGCCAGCGTGCAGGCAGAGCAGCCCAGCTCAGGTCAGAGGAGCATTTGGCCAACTGTCTTGTCCCAGTGGCCCAAGGCAGATGCTGGGGGAGAAGCAGAAGAGCAGAACAAGTGGCCCAAGCAGATGCTGAGGGAGAAGCAGAAGAGCAGAACAAGCATGTATGATGCTTCCCCAGAGTCCTTTTCCAGGACTCCAAGACTTTCTGAGTCAGGTACGATTTCTGTGTGTTTGGCAGCCCTCAGTTATGTCCATTAACTTGTCCATTCCCAGCTTGAACCAGTACAGACCTCCAGCATCCATGCTTTCCCTGTGGCAAGAGGTTCCACATTGTAACCAGGGGCTGTGCCAGTAAAGGTCTATTTTTATTAGTTTTGAGCTTACTGGCCTCTTCTGTTGCTCCTAGTTCTTGCGTTGTACAAGGCAGAGAATGATCAATCTCTTTGTTTTCTCATGCCAGACACAATTTCCAGATTTTTGAGAACATAACATATGTTCTTCCAGAATGTAAAAACATTAACAATAGCAATAATTTTGTCAGACCCACATGAGAAGACCCTGTGCTTCTCCTTGTCATCCCTCCAAATACAACTGTAAACTCTCTCCGAGTTAAGTCATTCTGTTTGATCTCTGTCTTTTGTACTGTATACTTACTTTAATATCTTACATTTTATAATCTCTTGCATCTTCCTTGGCACAAACCCCTTTGTGGCCATCAGGTAAGGAGGATGACCCTAGTTTGACTGAGTCCCCCAGAAATAGCTAAGAGTAAAAGCAGAGCCCTAAGCTATAGAGGTGGCTTTAGTAAATCTGTGGAAGCATAGACTTTTGCTGGAAAGAAAGTGTAATGAATGCTGAGAAACTATATATGTAACTTCAGCAAGCTAAACTAAATAAATTTTAAGAGAGCAACTGTCTAAATTTCTAAATCTGGAAAAGGCATACAGACCTTATAGAAGTCTTTGAGCTTCCCCCAGGTGGATTAGTATCCTAAATATTTAATATTCACTTCTAAGAGGAATTAGAGGATTGTCATCAGTAACTCAAACAACAGCATCTCTTTTAGGTGTTCCTCAATAATGGCTCACTTGCAAGCTGCTGTGCAAAGCATCAGTATAGGTATATGGGCTTGACCAGAATTAAGGGGATCCTAAGAGGATGAATCTGGGCGCAGCTGGTCACGCTGGTTCTGCAGTGGCTGAAGGAGTCGTTCACTCTTTCTTCCTCCCCTATTGACACCTGCTCAGGTACTTTCCCTCCCTTGCATCAGCTCTGGAGCTTATCGTACCTCTTCACAAGGGACTTCAGTTACCTAATGCAGTGAAAACATGGGTTTGTTGAACCCTCCCAAGTGTACTTTGACGAGTGCCAGTACTGACACCGAGAGTATTTTGATGAGTGCTCGTGCTGACACAAGGTAGGTTCAACGCTTGCTACTGAGGGGGCACTGAGACCTCCTGCTTTCAGCAGCAACCAGCTGTGAACTCACTGTGCCTGAGGGGACCCCACCTCCATGGACAGTTGTCCCATGGATGCTCCCATTCAGAAATTTATTAGCATCCCGCTTTTTGTTGCCTTTGTTGCTTGCACTTAGATACAAAGTCTTTTTTTTAACATCCAGTTTCCATTGACTCACTGACAGTCTGCGTACATTTGAGGTTCTGCCAGCATCTTCTGTAGCCTAATTAGCTACCTCTACATCTTGGTGTACAAACTCTGGTGCATTCAGATCCCCTCACAACTCAATTTTTTGCTAGACTTCAGGAGCTTTCCATTCCCTGGTTATCTCAGAAGGCTCTCTGTGCTTCCAGGTAATTGAACTTTCTAAGCAAAGCTGTCCAGTACCTCTCTGCAGTATTTGAAAAGAGGTGTCCTTTGGACAGTGGTATTAATCTTACCTCAGTTTGACTGGAAATACATCTTCTTTGATGTATTCTGGGATGACAGTTGTGTTTTTCAGGAAGACACCCTATTGATCTGGCAAATCATTTTGCCAGAATCAAGTGCAGTCATGTCTCTCTCCCTTATAAACCAGGCCCTCCAAAACAACATAATAGAAATTCCCTCCAGCCTTTAAGTGCATAAATTTGCTGTTTGTAAAATTGAATTTGATCCTATTTCTAATATCCAGTCCTGAAGATCATCCAGCTCTTTCCTGTGGGAGTTTTTTCAATCTTCGTTACTCCCTATGCTTTCCAACTTAGCGTTATCAGCATATTTCATTAGAGCGCTCCTGGTTTTTGTGCCTGGGTTATTAATGCAAATACCAAGCTGGCAGTTTCTAGGGCTGATATGGAAGGACCCATACTACCAACCTTGTCCTGCTCGGGGCTTGCTCTGGGCAGTCACCAATGCCTACATGAGCAAAAAAGTCAATGGCCCTGCTGACTGATTAGCCAGGGTGAAGCTCTTGAAAGCCAAGTGGCTGCAGCCCTGGGTGCCGCTCTGCAGTCCTTGCCCTCCCACAGCAGGTCAGGTTGCCTCTAGCCTGGGTGTTTTCCTGTTTGAAGGAGAAACATTCGATTTTGACTTTTCTGCCGAGAAGGTCTGTGCTCGTTGCCTCCTGTCCCATCAGTCAGCGTGCCTGTTGTCGTGTTTTCTCTACCAATTCTTCATCTTTTCCAGTTTAATTGCCTCTTAGGTGGGACAATATCAAATCTTTATACAGATGTAACATCAGTAAAACTTTGCAATCTTTGAAAATGTTTCATGAAATTTCTGATTTGCTTGCCTAGAAAATAACTTACGAGGGAGAGGATTTGTCTGGTGTAGCACTGAAGTGTCTTAGTAAATACAGCGTGCATTTAACTTATATACGTTTGCCTCAGGTCTGATTGTTTCTGCTCTTCAGTGTTTGTTCCAAAGCCTTGTGTACTTTTGAGGCTGGGTTTGCTGTTGCCCAGAGCATTTTCCTCTGACATTGCTAAAGCCGCAGGGCTCCCAGGGAGAGCGAGTGTGAGGGATGGGCCCCAATGGAGGCCTGCCCTTGGGAGCCCAAGGACAGCGAGGCACCCGCCGCCTGCCTTAGCACCTACACTGGGTGGAACTGGCCGTGAGCCTATGGTGTGGCGCAGCTCCTGTGGCTGATGGCTTTGCCTACCCATTTAGCGTGATCCTGAGCTCACCATATTGGTATTAAAAGGTCATTTCATTGTTGTGCCATTGTGCCCTTAGGAGTCTGCTGGAGGCAGCTGCCATTCTCCCTCAGATACAGCCTGCTGCAGGAGTGACCTCAACTAGTTTCTCACCCTTCTGCTTTTTTATTTTTTTAAAGTTCACCTAACTTCCTTAGTGTTCGCTTTTAGCAGCAAATAGAAAAGTCTCTTGAGTTAAAATCATTATCGGTGGCTGGTTTTGAACCTTCTCTGAAGAACCCCCCCCTCAGTTGTCCTTGTCCCGCCTCCTGGTATTAAAAATCAATGTATCCCATGCGCTGTGTAACTCCATTGGAGGTGGTTGTTTCAGTGATTTTTATGAACATTTTAGGAAAAGTATCCTGCAGGTTTTGCCCTTTTCAAATGTAAATGTTTAATTAGTGCTTGGTGAGAGGGAGTGCAAGAACACATGCGCGAGGCTTATGGTTCTTTTTTTCTTCTTCTTGCAGTGACCTGCTGTCTTCTGAATATCTTGAGAGGCATATCGAGCAAGGTGGGAAGACAGTGGAAGTTAAAGTAAGAATTCCCTTTTTATGCTTTGCTTTTTTAATTTGCTTTGCTTTTGATGTTAATGCAAACTCACCTATTTTTTTGAAAGGAGAGATATCTGATTTTTCAGGTAATTTGTTTTACGCTTCTGAGGCAAGCATGTTTCATGTCTTCTAACTTTTCAGCTTTTTAAATAAGACAAATAAACTTTATTGGCAAACTTAGTACATTAATGTTTATATCAAAATGGTATCCATGAAAAACGTATACATGGTAGTTCTTTTTACTAGTAAATATAATTTACTTTTGATGCCTATTGAAGAAAATCTTTCGGGTTTGGTATTTCCTCATTGTTCTAAACCCCAAGTTTGTTGTTTTTAATGAGCTTCTTTGTAAGTTTGAGAATGGTGAGATTTATTGTACAATATTTCCAAATATCTAGTCACTGTCTCAAATTGTGGGTTTCTTTCTCTGGATGTTTGTTGGCATGATGGCTACAAGATCCTGTTTGTTGCAGTTGTCTTCTGTGAAATGTCCCTCTGCCTTTGCAGGAGTGTTTTGTTATTTGCATGCAACATGGGAGAATTTTCTTGAGGACCTTCTGTTTGTTAGGACAGTATTTTGTAGACGTCAGGTATAAAATTGCTATAGATTACATAAAATGTGCATGAATGTAATATATGCTATGCATAATGGAAACTCTTTATATTTGCCTATCAGGTAAAATTTTGTTCAAAGTTTACATTTTTATTAAAAAAACTCCAGAAGTCTTTTACTAAATCTGAGATCACCTAAATATCCTGAAACAAATGCGTTAACCTCTGCAATGTGGAAGTGGAAATGGGCAAAGCAATCCTTTAGCCACTGAGTAGCTGAATCCTTTAGCCATTGAGTAGCTGAAGATACGTGTTTCCTTTGGTTTATGCCTTTCTAGCATTTGCAAACTTAAAGTCTGCTTTCTTTTTACTCTCTAATAATAGTCTACATACATTATCAGACTGAGACAAACACATACGTGTTCCATTAAATTGTAAAGACTAATTTCTCAGTCAGCCGTGCTCTGCAGTCAAGAAGTCTTGACTCAGATTCAGAATATGAGTCAAAGCAGAAATAAAGATAATAGCTGATATTAATAAGAACAAAACAATCCACTTGTCTGCATCAAGATATATATGCAAGTTAGCTAAGTTAATCTATCCGAGTCCCATCACTGAATTAGGACAAATCTGTTTCTGATGAGTAAGCCTTAATCAAGCAAGGAAATGTTTGAAATCAGTGGTTCTTCTCATGTAAGTACTGTTTAATTGCATGGGGAAGAGACGGGAGGATGAGGCCTTTCAGAGGAACGGTCATAAAATGTTTTCTGGGCAAAACATCTCCCAGTCTCCAGGGTCCCAGAGATTATTTCCCCTTTAGTTAGCTGCAGTGCAGTGTCGTGGTATGCCTTCAAGGATGGCTATCACTGCCTCGCTTAGTACTGTCAAATCTGATTTAAATAGAGAACCAGCGTTGCTGCGTTGACCTTGATGCTCACGATGAACTGAATTGGGAGTGAAAGGGTCATGAGGTTGCACTGCAAAGGAGGGGCGTTGCTGCTCGGATGGTGTGTTTCCCTCTCCATGCTGCCTTGCCCCTTGCGCACCCGAGGGCAGGGGCACAGGGGTAGCCCAGGCAGGTGGGGGGGCTCTTCTGCCCTCTCCTCACCCACTGCTCGAGGAGTTCGGCAGGCAGCAGTCCTATGGAAGCGTGCCAGGAAGGGGATGTAAATTTTTTGCTTGTTTTGCTGCATCCGAGTGTCTGGGATCGGAGGAGAGGGAAGCAGCTGCTGTGACAAAATGGCCGGAAGAGCCCATTGGCCGCAGTCATCGGCGCATTTTCAGAAAAGTTCAGATATCAAAAGATTTTTGGAAGAGTGCAGGCTGCCGAGTACATTTTGATGCCAGACACTGAGTGAGGCTAATTTCAGTACCCAACAGCTGTTTAAAAATAAATCTGGTTCCCTCTGACCAGCCAGTATTTTTCAGTGCCTGTAAGTGCCCTGGACAGCCCTGTTTGTCCATCGAACAATTTCTGAAAAGCCCAGCAGTATCTGCTTTGCATTTGAGAAACTGAACTCTGGTTTTACATCAAATGTTTTGAAAATCTCACTGCAAATACAAGGTTTTTTCAGAATGGTGGTTTAGTACCTTCAGTTTCTGTGGAAACTGTTTACCGTAACCGGTAAAACCACCTTTAAATTCATACTTACAGTATGTACCAGGCAAAACATAATTATTATACTAGATTTTAGGGATTGTGCAGATTGCTTAGATACTTACTTAAAAATAGCTAGTAAAAGGGTGCAACTTACAAACAAATCACAAAAAGTGCACTCTGCTACACAGCACATTCTTAAGCAGAAGCAGGAGAAGAGGTATTTCAGAAAGGAGCCAGGTTTCTATCAGTTGCTTCAACGCGCTGCTCTTCACCCACCTCTGTGCAATTTGTCTTTGGCTGTAGGCAGAAACAGAGGCGGCCTGGCAACATCTCTCTTGCTGCTTTGGTGGGAGAAACGGTGACAGAAAGAAAATGTCCATCTGCCATCCACTACCAGCTGCAGGCTTTGAGCAGGCCTGTTTATACAGCAAAAAGGCCTCCTCTATTCTTGGCCGCCTTAGTGACGTAAGGAGAGGTGTATTTTAAAATACATACATATTTCCCCCTTGCATTTCTTGGTGCAGGAATACTGCAGAAACATGCAAATCGTCAGTGCTGCTGTTGTGCCATCAGCAATGTGGGAGAAGACAGGAGCTTTGAATTGCTGTGGGAAGGCAGCTGTACGTACGCTCAGCAGTTTGGGAATGTTACAGGCATGAATGTGTCCGGGAAGCTGATGCCTGCCTTGGCTTATACGCAATGTGGAATTGATAACTACTTTTGCCACTCATCCCCCTCTCCATCCCCCCCCAGTAAAACTTCCTGTGCCGTAAAATACATACGGATCTTCTGCCATTACTTAGGATGCTTCAGAGAGGAGGGGGGGACAGGGAAAGGGAGAAACATTCAGATCATGAAAAATGCCACTTCGAAGGAGCAAAGGGATTTTTATAGGGAGGAGAGTCATCAGTTTAACACACCTTTTTATTATAAGAGAAAGTTGAATTACATTTGATTGCTGCATAATTCATTAATACATTGGACCATTGTGAAGGTGGAACATGTTACACATGTTTTTGCAGGGTGCCAGCATTTAGCAGCTGCAGAAGAGAGGCTTCTTTGTGAGATGTCCTTGTTGATTTGGCACAGTTAGGCAGCACCTAAGACATTCTTATTAAACCAGCAGCAATGTGCAGTGCTTAAGAAAAACAAAAGGAGGCAGACCTTTGAATTATTTCAGTGTTTCCCCCTGACACCCTCCTTTACTTTAGATCATGTCTCTAACTGCTAGGAAAGCAGCAGTATTGCCCTAAATTCCCTCTGGTAGCAAAGAGAATCAATTAATGAGAAAGAGAAAAACCCTTCATGCATTGCCTTTTCCTGATTGTGTCAGTCCAGATCATCCTATGCTCACAGCACATAAATACTCAACTTGTGCATACTCAGTGTTGCTGCAGTACATCTCTGTGTCCTTTTATCTCTCTCTTTCTCTCTCTTTTTTGGGTTATCATTCTGTCACTGATGCTGTCAGTGAGATGAAAGGCAAAAAACAGCTACAGTGCTGAGTAATTCTCATTGCTGGATTTTTCTTCCTCAGAAGGAACAACTGATATCTGTTCAGTGACATTTTCTCGCATAAAATGTTTCAGTTTTCCTCTTTGGAGAGTGTAGAAATAGATGTTTCTGCCTGTATTCCCCCAAACCATTGGACAATTCTATGAGTTCTTAGAAAATCGCTGTCTCAAAAAAAAAAATTAAGCAACGAAAATAATTCAGATCCCAGTCAGAGAATTTGCACAGGTAGAGTTGTGGTAGATAAATGCCATGAATTTTTGATGGCATGTTTAAATATAACTAGAGGGAACTATATTTCATAGGCAATCTTGAAATTCTTAAGTGTGGTGGTGTAAACACAGTATGTGTATTATGGACACAAAATTACAGCAAGAGTGTTCACAGCATAAGAGAACGTTGCTTTTCACTTCTACTTCACAGCATGTTCATAATCATGATAGCGTCGAACAACATAAACGGAGTAATATTAAATGCTAGGTACCATTTTTCTCCATTGTAGTGTTGACGGAGAAGCTTTGGCCAAACTTGCCCTGTGGCTTAAGATTGCCTTGTGGCTTTGTGTCCCAAGCTGTGCTGAGCCATATTGCTGACCCCTGTGGTGCTCAGCCACTGCCTGTGCAGCAGTGAACGTGGGCAGGGCAGTGCCTGGTGCCTTCCTTCAAACCGTCCGCGGCCGTCCTCTCGAGCTGGGGTGCCCCAGCGTGGCCTCGTGCTCTGCGGTGGCTCTAGCAGAGGTGCCGTCGTTGCAGTTTGGGGAATGAGGGTTGTGGAGCAAATGCATTTTTATGCTGCACAGCAAAGCAGAGCCCTTAGTTTGGAAAAACAGTAATTATTTCCTTTTGTTATGTGCGTTGTTTGGCTAGTAGCGTGTGCAAAATGCCTGTTACTGTAGCTTACAGCTATTTTAATGCCTGTGCACAAGAGGGGAAAATTATTGTTCTTCATTGCCTTGTTGTAATTAAAGTCTTGGTTTGTCTGTGCCATGATGTGTATTTGAAGGGCTCTTTAAATGCCCCTTTTTAGGAAAATAATATAGATGGGAGAAAAATATTAAAATCTTGAAAGGCCAGAGGGGGCTGGTGATCCTTGACATGGTGGGTATTGCTTTTTCTGTTAATCTCCCTCCTTCAAATCTGGTCTGCTCAAGGATTTGTTAAGGTACAGTCCCTTGACTGAGGGACTTGTCTGTGTCTGTCACGTCTTAGTGCCTGTGTTTGATGAGACCTTATCCTAAGTAGCATTCCAACATTTCGCTGTATTGCCACAGGTACGAACTGATCATAGGGCTACAGTAATTTGCGGTGCAGCCAGAATAA